CTTCCCCACACTGTCATGTACATAAGCGAGACAACCAAATACCTTGAGATGGTTATATGAAGGAATTTTTCCAAGAAGCATTTCATATGGAGTCTTGCTTTCAAGAACCTTCGTGGGCAGCCTATTAATGATGTATGATGCAGTCAAGACACAATCTCCCCAAAATTCAATCGGTAGAGATGCTTGAAATCGTAGTGCACGACCCATTTACAAAAGGTGTCTATGTTTTCGTTCTACCACGCCGTTTTGTTCCGGTGTATAGGAACACAAGATGTTTCCAAAATTATGCCACGTTCCTTATAGAATTCAAGCATAACTCTTGAGTTGAATTCCAAACCATTGTCAGTGCGTATCCTTTTCACTTTCTTATCAAATTGCGTGGTTATCATGTTGCAAAAGGATTTCAAAAAATAGTTGGCTTTAGACTTTTCTTTCATCAAATAAACCCAAAATCCTCTACTATAATCATCTACTATAGACAAGAAATAACGTTCTCCATTCAAAGTAGCATTTCTATATGGACCCCAAATGTCAACATGTATTAAATCAAAAATCTCATAAGTATTGGAAAAACTAATAGGAAACAAAAGTTTGGTTTGTTTTGCTCTAAGGTAAGAGTCACAAAACTGGTTACAATTACCTACATCTACTTGTTGTAATTTTCGTAAAACTCCCTCTGAATCATGACCTAATCTTTTGTGCGATACTATCTCTTTGCTCAAAACTGCTACTGCCACCTTGCTCTCTTTGAACGAGTCCAAGTAATACAGTCCTCCATGTTCCTTACCCGTCTGAATCAAGTTCCTCAAACATAAGTCCTGAATGTAACAAGTTTTTGGTAAGAAATTTAGCGAGCAGTTCAAATCATTTGCAAGCCTACTCACAGATAAGAAGTTATAGTTAAAATTTGGAATATTCAACACGTTTTTTAGATCAAACCCGTTTGGCAAGTGACTGTTTCCAACATGTTTAATTGGTACAGATGCACCATTAGGAATGGTGACTGAAGAGTTATGTCAATTGGTTTTGACAGCTTTTAACCAATCTTTATGAGGCATAATATGGTCATTAGCCCCTGAATCGATAATCCAAGACGTTTGGTTTTCATTCTTACCAGTCATGTAGGCTTTGGAATTAATCTTACCACTCATGTTAGCGTTGGGATGATCATCAACTGTTTTGGCAGCCTTTATCATTTTTACAAGGTTGGCATACTCTTCCTTTGTGATCGTTTGGTGACCGACATCTTCTGTAACGTACAGCAACAACCTTAGCTTGCGTCCCTTGTTTTCCTGTTTGGTTTCTCACGTTTGTGGTTTTTGTGTTCCACCACTCTGGATAGCCAATTATCTCAAAACAGTCATCTACCACATGTCCTGATTTTTGACAAAGTGTTCACCATTTGTCTTCATTCCTAACGGTTTTGTTGCAATTATCTTGTTTAGTTTTCAATTGTGAACTAGTTTTATTAGATTGACAATGATTGTATTTTCCCGCTGCTTGAAATGCTGAGGATTCTGAATTAGTATTTTGTGCAATACCGATTTTTCGTTGTTGTTCGTCTTGGCTGACAAGGTGATATGCGGTATTGAGAGTGGGAAGTGGGCTGCTACTGAGGATTTGAGTTCTTACTGCATTAATTCTTCATTCAATCCCATAAGGAAGTCATATAAATGTTCCTTATCACGAAGTTTGGTGACCTCTTTATTAATTTCACACTTGCACCCAGTACATGAACACAATGGAATTTCGTTGATAGATTGAATTTCTTCTCACACACCTCTTAACTTCGTGTAATAGGAGGAAACACTCAAGTTGTTTTGTTGTATGCTAGTGGCTGCACGTCGAAGTTCATATGCTCGTGGAGCATTTTCTTTTCCAAACCTCTCCTTCAGATCTAACCAAATGTCACGAGCTGTTACAACGTAATTCACACTGCTCTTTATTTCTTTCTCCATGGAGCTCACGAGCCATCCTCGCACCATCATATTGCATCTCCTCCAGTTGGTTAAGTCTGCAGAATCTTCCTGTGGCATGAGTAGGGTTCCATCGACGAACCCTATCTTGTCATTGGAAAAAAGAGCATTAGTCATCTCGTTTTCCCAATCATTATAATTCCCATCTCGTAGGAGGTTTTCTCCAACAAATTTTTGTCCCGGGTGATTAGAACTTGTGAGGAAGTAGGGCGAAGATATGTCTAGAACCGACTTGTCTCCTCCTGTGGAGGACTCCGGCTTGTCTCCGAATGCCATTATTAACGAACACTATTATTGTATTCCCAGGTAAGGTAATGCTCGGATACCATAATAAAATCGAGATCAAATTGGAATTGCATTATTGGAAAACGATTACAATGTGATCCTTTTATAATTAAGGAATCCTTATCTGATAAGGAAGCCATGTATACTAAGATAACGATAATCTTTTTTAACAAGAAATAATCAAAAGATAATGATAGATATTTAAATCTCAACATCCATTTTTAGGAATTTGATTTTAATAATATATTTTATTATTATGTTGGGTTTAATTGCGACGTGATCAATGCCAGTTAGTACGAAGAACCTAGAAAATATACCAAATGGTGTTAACCTAAACAATAACGACGATGGGTAGGCATAATCGTTAAATCACATGAGGGAGTTCTCTTTCGTGCATAACGAAATTAAGGACAAAACATTTCTAGTACCACCTTATCTACTAAGAGGAATAAGTGAATGCCTACCAATGTAAAGATTCCGCTTTGGAGGATTTTGTTGCCTTTCCTGCATGCAATAGCCTTGCAAGTCCATCTATCATTGTTCCTTCTGTGACGTGTGACAAAGTGGGCAAAAGAATCAATTCATGTTTATTTTTATATGCGAATATTTGAGACACTATTTAGCTTTGTAATCTTTAGTGTAGTTATTGCTTAATAAATGGATGTCATGGTTGTGACCTTGATGGTTCTCATGGTGATAATAACTGTTAATCATCCACTACACCCAACAAACCCACATATTCCTATCAATACTCCATATCAAGCATACACGATTCATTATGATTCTTTATACGTTTGAATCTATCATCTCTTTTCCATTTCCAAAAATCTTTGTCCAAAGAGCGTTGATGATTATACTTATCACATAATTTATGATAACTGTTTATGTGTATGTGTGTGCACACACACTAATAAGCCGCTGATTTAAAGAGTATTTGTGTTTGTTTATTTGAAATGTTTATTGTATTACTGTGGTAATAAGTAGTTGTTAGTTTTTATATAGTAAAATTCTATAAGTATTTATCGACTAAAATAATAAGTTACTTCCTTTTTGCCTATTGAATTATTTAAAGAGTTTTCAGTAAGTTATTTTTTATTACATATATAAACACAATTTGTCAAACACAAAAATAACTATCAATTTATTATGTAATAAATTAATTCAAATACTTGTTTATGAAAGTCAATTTTCACACAAAATTAATAACCACTTTACTAAAAAGGATAAAAATTATTTTAAAGAGTAAATTACACTAATTGTCGCTCGTCCAAATATCAAATTACACTTTAATCATTATTTTCAAAAATTAATTCAGAACGCCCCTTATATTTTTAAAATTTGCAGCGTTTCGTCCCCACAAAGATGATATGACTATAATACCGTTTTCTATTTCTTTTTCTTTCATTTTTTATTTGTTTATAATTTAACTATTATATTTTATTAATTATGATTTCTCTAGAAAATAAAATAGTCCCTAATACCACCCCACCAGCTCGCCTTCTAGATACACTCTCTCACGCTCAACTTCTTCTTCTCCATCTCCGGCGATATCGTCGGCGCCGCATTAGCCGACTGCCACCCCTTCTCCTATCGGAAACCACCATCACAGAACCAATATTTTTTTTTTTTGCCTTTTTCCCTACATCTTTCTCCCTCCGCCCATCTATCATTCTACCTAAACCGGCTGACACCTCTTCTCCTATCGGCGCTTCACCACCACTACACCATCAGTGCTCTGCAACCATTGAAGACACCGTCCTCCGCCACCGTCTCCCTCTTTCTCACCATTCTCGAACAACCACCCAAACCCCTATCGAGATCCAACACCAAACCTGACATCCTAGATCACAAGCGCTCCTCCTCATTCTCTTTTCCAACTGGAGGCTATCCCAGGCAACAAATCTTTTACGTCTAGGGTTCAGATCTGTGATCTAGGGTACGACAAGAACAGCCCTTTTTTACACTACAACAACAAAGTTTGTAGTTACAGAAGCAAGCAGATCAGAAGTTGATCCAAAAAATAGAGGAGATGTGGTTGCCGACAGAGTTGCAGGTCCATGGAGTAGATTTAGTCGGGATTCCAGTCGAGCAAGTTGCAGATTCCGCAGAGTAGATTTCATTTCACGGTTGTAGATGTTCTTCACTTTGACTAGAGAGAGAGGAAAGAGTGGGGAAGGCCGGTGATGCCGCTGGTGATGCCGGCAATGATGATTCAAAGATTGCGATAAGATATAGTACGGGTTCAGGTGTGGTTCTTGAAAGTCAAAAGAGGGTGGGCTTTTTCTCGTTAATATCTTTATTAAATAATAAAGAAATAAAAAAAATATCAAAAAAGCTATTAAATAATAAAGAAACAAAAAAAGAAATCTAAAAAGAAATAGATAAGAGAAAAATAGTACTTTCATGTCTGTCGGATGGTCCGAGTGAGAAAAAACATTATAGCAACAGTCCGAGTTAAAATTTAAAAATATGGACTAAACGTGCACTTTAACACTTTAACCAGGGACAATTCGTGTAATTTACTCTATTTTACATAAACAATTCCAAACACCCTCTTAAAATATATAAAGGTATAAATTTATAGCTGGCTAATTCTTATCAAATTCTAAAAGAGTAGCTCCCAGTATACAAATTCACAGCGAGATACATAATTTTATGGACAAAATTTATAATACAAGAAACTAATCTACACAAACGCAAACATGTTACAAATTTCCTATATAACATATATGATCATTATGTACACTAACTATGACATATAATTATACTTTTGAACAAGGTATGCATGCCTACGTACAAAATAGGCGAATAAGATGTAAAAAAAAATGCCGTTCTTATAGATACGCATTTTTTTTCCGGTATTTCCTTCTTAACACTTGGGAACCCAACATCCATGAAGTCCATATGGGAGCCCATAAGGGAACTTTGCTCTTGCGATTTCTTCAAATGTTGATGCGTCTAATATTAATGCGTACCCTTCACCATTTTTATCACTTATCATCGAAATCACGACCCCTGCTCACATGATCATTAGTATTTATTAAGAGCATAAAAAGACTCATTTTAATTATCTTCATCATGGTTTGATGTTGATGTGAACTATATAATTAAACATAGTGACTTACCATCATCTTCTTTTGTTGCACCAGGTCTTGCAACGAAAAAAGGTTCAGAGGGCACTGCGCCTTCATCGTACCAGTTCTTTGCTTTTTTCTTTTCTAAGTCTATCTGTAAAAAATTGCAAAAAAAAAAAAAAAAATGTTACCAATTTATTGAATTCTTTCACATAAGTTTTAACAACGTATAAACAAACAAAATTTAATGGAAAACTGTACCTTGGTGAGGGTATTGGGGAAATTACAAGGCCGTTGAGCACCACAAGCATACGCATATCTGTATTTCTTCCCTAAATAAGCCGGATTGATGCTGCACATATCCATCCCCCTTCCATGTTCATCAGGGTTTAGAGCTTCTACCAATTCACCATTCGAGCTCCCATCAAATGGTATTTTAAAACGCCCGACCCTGCAATTATACACGCATATATGTAATTCAACCACACACTTCAATAAAAGCAAAAATAGATGGATGTTTAATGATATATATGTCAAAAATGACTAACTAATGTCATGTGCATAAGCCTATTTGTAATTATATGTATGTACCTAGCATCGGGTAGAACATCCTCGCCAGACCATGATCGAAGGTTTTGAAGCCGGAGATTGTCAAGAATAGTAGTATCAGCATTATGTTCACAACAATCGGCTACAACTCCAATTACCCTTCCATCTTCATCTGTCTCTTCATAAGCGTTGATGAAGTGAAATGTCACAAATAAAGGAACTTCAACACTTGCCACCTTCAAAAATCACAACAAGGTCTTTTAGAAATTTATTGCTACACCATGCAAAACGTTTCGTTTTCTTAATATATATACAGGAATTCGATCTTACCAATTTGCCACTAGCTTTACACATAACGTGCATAAACGCTTTGGACTCAGGGTGCCACTCAAACTTGTACAATGGTGTGGGTTCGGCTCTTAACAAGTTCTGTGCACAATACCTCAATGGCATCTCCGGCACTATCACATAATGTTCAGTCACCGGAAAAGAATGGACCCATCCCGGAGATGGGCCACCACGACAATCAACCCGACCAATCACCTTCCTTTCATTTGTTCCTGGCTCCATCCTTGCCACCAAATAACCAGGGTTCAATAGATCCGGCAACAAGGTCAAAAACTCCGACTGAGTCACGATAGGATGTGCAGAGTGGACTAACCCACCCAACGAGTCACTGTACTCAAACTTCCCTAACGTATCTAAGTTACTGGGGTCGATCACAATGGACCCTTTAATTGTTTCAGTGAGACAAACCACTCGGCCATCTCCTAACTGAACAACACCAGTATTGGCATTATCAGTTAGCGATGCTCCGGAAAATAGATTGGCCAAATCTCCGATATATGCTAGGAAGTTGTCATGTTTCGGGACTTCAGAAAATTCACGGTAACAAAGCTTGTTGCTTTTTCTTGCGGCTTTATATGCATCGGATTCAATTTGCCGGTGACCCATCATGAGGTGGCCGTTCTGAAAGTGGAGGCCGACGAGGGTGGCGTAACCATCGAAGAGGTGGCGGAAGTTGTAGTCTCCGATGTCCCATAACCCTGGTCCGTTCCTCAAATAGGTCCCATTCTGCATGGTTTACCATCAAAGAATATAAATATTAAAATTAATGGATTTCAGATAGTAAAAAAGTTTGATTGTAGCAGACAAACAGAAAGACAAAACAATTGGTGGCAAGTGGAAACAAATTAATTACGTAGAATATAAAAATGTAAGCACATAGAAACGGAATCTTCTTGTAAATCTTTTGTCCAACATTAGTGTACGCAAAAGAATAGAACATTAAATGATATAACTTTTATTTGATATAAAATATGATAACCTTATTAATTAATCAAACAAATTGTTAAAACTTCAAATGATTATAACAAAATACACTTACAAACACATAAATTGCAATTTTCTCGTTACCGACATGACAAGCTCAATTAATTTTTTATATATATATATAAATTTTTATCAATTTTTAAATGACAAGAGACATAATTATATCGTATTCATAATTGTGTTTTCCTTTAAAAGGATCGGGTACGAGATTATAATATTACTCAAAGAGTATCATGGGTGTCGAAGTGGTGCACTACAATTGCTACGCAAAGATTTGCACTAACAAATTGCACACAATCAATCAATGAATCATTATTAAAAATTTGACACATCTTGCAACAAACACAACACATACCAGCCATTGTGGTATCTCTCCGTTGACACAAAGTTCTCCTTCCCACCGTTCTTGCTGGATGCTAGTCCATGCCGCCAACTTCCGCTCCTGGGCCACCTCCTTCCACAACGGTGATTGAACAACCATAGGCAGATCAGTTGCTACACTCACAATATTTAACTCCCTACTCTTCTTATTCTTAGGGAAACTAGGTTGCCCAAAGGAACAACCATCACTAGCATGGTTGGAAACCATGCATGACGGCAGACCATAGTTTCTGGTGGGTGAAAATGGAAAGGAGGAAGTCATAGGAAAGAAAGAGGTGTGCTATAAGTAGGAATGGTATAAAATATGTGGGTAAACATAGCGTGGTATGAAGGGTATATATAGGAGTTTGTATACATGCACACTTAGTGAGGAAGCTCATATTGGTATCTTGAATGAACAATTCTTTTTAACTAGTAGACAAGACTCAACAATTAATATTGCTTATATACAAGTATTAAAGATAAAAATAGAATTTAATAATGACAAGATTGCTTCGATGAATAAGAGAAAACCTTAATTGGAAAACACAAAAGTTGTATCGTGGTCCTTTGTTGTTTGTTTATTTATGTTTTGCTAAATAGTTAACCTATATAAATAAGTAGTTAGCATAATTAGCTAAATTACGTACATAACCAAGGCTCTAACACTAGCATCTTGCTAGTATTCGGTTATAATGCAATAAAATGCTTCGCAGTTCGAAGAAATAAAATAGTAAATTAGAAGCTAATGTCAAACCGTTGTACTTGAATTATCCTTTCGGCAAATGAATATACCGGTGTGATATGTATATATTCGTGCATATCGTGTAGGAAGGTTTTGAAGGCTACTTAATAACTAAGTACTTCCAACTATATATTGAAGCAACTAAAAGCTATATATTAAACTGCTAGCATTTTAATATATAACTTTAAATTTAATCAAATGATCAATAGTAAGAAGCATTTTGTGTATATTAGGATAATTATCTATACTTGTTTGTTATGAATACGAAGGCAAGCTTTGAGGTTCCTTTAGTTTTCGTCTAGCGTTTTAGTGCTTTGATCGGTGCTGTACTCCTTTATATTTCTAGTAATGTGTATACATAGAATAATGATCGAATTAAGTTTTGTTAGTTTTTATTTAGTTTACTTGATTTTATTTCTTTTTTGTTCGTTTTATGCGTGTTTTCTAGTTTTATTTTAGCAGAAATTATGGGGGACATCACGACAATAGCAATGGAAGAATACAAGCGAAATATGAGGAACGACAATAGATAAGGTCTATATCAACCAAAAATCCCAACCACGACAAGTTTTCAACTTCCGGGGGACATTGTTGGCATGCTAAAGAAACTTCCTTTTTATGGGAAAGGAGCACGAGGATGCTTATGAGCATATAGAAGAGGTGGTGGAAATTTCTAATTATTTTCATGCACCAAACGTGTGTAAAGATGCAGTAATGCTTCAACTTTTTCCAGTCACACTAAAGGGTGAAGAAAAAGAATGTTTAAAATCATTTCCGTTTGGAGCAATCACGACATGGGCTGATTTTAAGACTGAGTTCATAAACTAGTTTACCACTCCTTCAAAAATGGCGAAGCTTAAAAGAAACATACAACATTTTCAACAATTAGAAGGGGAGTCGTTATACGAAGCTTGGGCGTGTTACAAGAGATTCTTACGACATTGCCCTCAACATGACTTCAATGTGCAACAAGAAATCTCGATAATTTATGATGCACTCAATGTGTGCACTCGCCAACTTCTAGACTCTCAAGGGCCCATGACAAAGCAGAATCCGACATCAAAAAAAGGTTTGATTGACGAATTTCCTAAGCATTCAAGAGAGTATCACAACCCAAAAGAGGATTTCACTAGAGGAAAATCAAGTAAAGATAGAGGTCAAGAGTCCATCAGTTCAATAATTTCAAAGCTCGACGCGATGCAAGAAAGGATCACAAAAATGGGAGGAGTAATTCAAGATAGATGCAGAGCTTGTGGGGGACCCCGTTCTACAAGGGATTGTGAAGTGGAGTACAAGAGAGATCAAGATACAAAAGAAATTCAACAACTAAAGCTAGATCTGTACCAAATAGAACAAGTTCCATCCGAGAAAATAATTGCTCTAGAGTCAATGCTACTTAGATTTATGGAAGCTAGAGAAAAACGAAATGATGCTACAGATGCAACACTTAGAGAAAACCAAGAATCTATTTTGAGCATCCACACACCATTCGGGGAATTAACAAAGCTTGTGCAAGAAAAGCTATTGGATAAACCTTCCAAAAAAACCGAGCTAATACCAATATCTCAAGTCATGGTTGTTTATGAAGAAGAAGACGAATTGGTGAATATGGAGGTCCTTAATTCAATGGAAGAACAGTTTAATCTGTCACTCGATGTGAATATGAAAGAAGAAGAAGAGTGTCATGAAGTTGCCCAGTCGAAACGACGTGGAGGCAATAGTGCCACGTCATGGGAGATAAAAGAAAATTATGATTTCTCAGTTACTGAGTCGTATCGACCACCTCTCCCTTACCCATCTCATGCCAATGCCAATCTGGTGATGCAAGAACATAAAAAGTTCCTAGAGGATGATGAATTTGAAGGCGTTAAAGAAGAAGCATGGGAAGAAAGGGACGACCTTTACCCAAAGAGCAATCGTAAAAAGAAGAAAATCATTGGAAACCTCCATTTTCAACGCCTATGATTTTCAATGTGTTTTCTTTTACAAGACCTCCAGGAAAAGTCACCAAGAAAGTTGAAGAAAAAGAAGAAGAGAGTGATGAGTCTCATTTTGACAAGAAAAAAACTGGAAAGATACAAGAGAAAAGCTAAAGACACATAAATGAAGAAAGAACCCAAGAGGAAGCATAATGAAGATGTCACCCAGAAAATGCCAGAAAGCTCACAAAAGGTATTAAATAGAAGGGTTGCCTACAAACGAGAAAGGTTCTAGATGGTGGAGAACGGGGAGGTTACACTTCCACCTGACGCAACGTAGAGTGGGAAGGAGTACGACTCACGACTCCTCAAAAAGAAGAGCTTATCGGGAGGCAACCTGATTTTTAAGAGTTTGCATTTTCTTTTCTTTTTGATTTATTTTTAGTTTTTGTTTTTATTTTATTTTAACTGAATGATCATGTGTCTCTAGTTTTTAATCTTATTTTGTAGTGTTGAACGGAAGTGAAGCAGTGAAAGAGCTTAATTGGAAAAACTCATGAGATTTTTGAAGATTACAATTGAAGACCATATTTTTAAATTAGTGTGGGGTAACTACCTGATAACAAGAATAGTTTTGAAGGAATTTTACAGAAAGAAAAGGCCGGGAATGGTCCTAAGCCATTAAGAAGAAATGATGTATAATTTTGGCTCTTAATGAAATTCAGAGAAGTCACCACGACGCGGGCATCACCTCCACACCGTGGCATTTGTTTTTATCACGACTCAATTCCATCAGACCAATACCCACGATGTGGCATCGTGATGTGGTGTTGCTTTCCCACGTCGTGGCTGAGGGTCAGCACACTTCTAGAAGATGGTTCTTTGGTTTATTTATACCTGGCCCATTTTATTTACAAGAAGAAGACTTAGAAGTACTATTTTTCTAGCAAATTATACGAGATGTCAACCACACATTGTAAGTCCCGAATTCTCCTACGTATCAATCGGATTCACTTTGATGGTGCGGAATCCCAATCAAATTGTATAAAGCAAGATATAAGATGGATAAGAACACAAAATGAATCTTCAATGCACACGATATATTGATTAATCGTACCATACACAAGATTCCGATTACACATGGTTTTCTCTCTATTTCACTCTAGATCTCGTTCTTGGCTTATGGCAGCCCCCAAAACGTCCCACACTGCTTGCAAGGCTCAAATGACACTATTTATACCTAGAACTTATAACCAAGCCCAAGCCCAAAACCCAAACAAAACAATATTAAGCCTAACCGAAATCACATGTGATCTCGGCCCAAACAACACCAAAACATGGTATTTTCGGTCCTAGACTGAGAACTCTAATAGCTTATGAAAAGAAAAGTATAAACCACAATATATGACCTAACAATATCCCCTTGGTTTATAGCTTTATTTTCTCAAAGAATAAACCATAATTTAGTCATAACAATCTCCCCCTTGTTTTATTGCTTTCTTTTCACTATAGTCTTCGCTTTGTTCTTTGCTTCAGCTTTTAACTTCGATTTCTTCACAACTTCAAGATGAACATATGAATTTCTGCATGAATGACTTTATCTTGAACAGTTGGACTTCCTTCAAAAATTTTGACATTGAACGACAGTGGGTGCAAGGCTTCTTGTAAGGTTCTTGTAAAATCAGCACTTGTAGCTTTGAAATACTATAGAGATAATAACAGAGAGACCAATTCTTCTGGATCACTTTAGCAAGTTCATACATAGCAACAAATTGATTGAGGAGGCTTCAATGAGATCTATCATATAACTTCAAGTACAACTTCACCTTGCTTCTTGTTTCTTAGAATGAGTATTCTTTAACGATCACTGTTGTGCCTTGAAAAGTAATCATGACTAAAAAGTCCATGTGGATCACAGAATCATAAAGACCATTCTCACCATAGTTGTTCAAGGACCCAACCTTGGCTCGGATGGAGACTACTCGCAGTATCCGTGTGAACACGGAGGAACGCACTGCGATTTGTTGAGTATCGGAGAACTACTCATGGCCTACAAATGTTAGCCCCTGTATATCCTAGATCAAATATCTCAATACAGTTTTTCAAGTTAACAAGTTAACTTGGCCCTTGGCGAGACATTCAGCGATAATCGTGCCTTGTGAGGTGCATCGCCCTGGTGCCATGACAATTGTACAGTTTAAGACTTTTAATTCCTTAAATACGACAGTTCTTAGAAAGATACTACCTAACTGAAAATTTGTACAGTTTCAATCCTTCAATTCATTGTGAAAATAGAGTGAAGTGTAATGACCATCAACTCCTTTCCAAGTTTCTTTTCCTTTCTCAGAAAATTCCGATACAGTCTCCATGAGTCTCTTCTTCTTTTTGAATTCGCTTTTTAAGACAAACAAAACTTTGAGATAAAAAATAAAAGTGAAAATAAACTTAGCACACAATAGAAATAACTAAGAAATAAAAATAAAATTAAAAATACACTCAAAACAAAAATAAAATATTTTTGGATTTTTTTAAATTTCTGAATAGGAAATAAAACAGAAATAAACATATATTTATAATTTTAAATTTTATGATTTTTTCAATTTTTTTTTTAATTCTCCCCCTAAATTTGTGCATAGAGGAAAAATATGAACAAATTTAACAAAAACAAAAATAAGATACAAAATATACAAAACAGAAAATTTTGGGATCAAAGTTATCAAGCAATTCAATATCGTTTATCAGCACACACCTGCATGTTTA